CTCAGCGTGTCGGGGATCATCCTCCCTCCCCGAGTGATAGTAGGTCAAAAGGGGAGGGTGTCGCTGAGCATTGAAGGCAGGAGGGTGGACCGGGTGCAGACCGCATGGTTTCTCAATGACACCCCTATTTTTGACAACTCCCTTGCAGGTAGGATGCGTCGCATTCTCCTTTTTGTTCTGTGATCCAGCTGTTACACTTATTGTTTGAATGAAGGAATTAATTTACACATATTTAAAGCACAGCAGAATCAATCTTTAAAGCAATTTTTGGTGATGGAAGCTGGTTGTTTAGGGAATTGGGGAAATGAAATGCCAGTGTTGGTGCTACACATGTTGGATTTTTCTCGCAAACACCCTTTAACGTCCTCTGTTTCCCCCTCTTTAACACGCTGATTCTGCTAACAATTGACCACCTGACACTCACAGGGACTTCCAAAGCTAACTTTAACTGCCTCTGTAACCCCCTAATCACCATCCATCTACCCTATGGTCTAACTCTCACCTCCCCAGTGTCAGAGAAAGGTCCTCTGCTGCCCTCCAGAGGTGAAATGGGTTACTACAAGCTGCACACTCAGGGGCCGCTGCACTCGTCCAAAAACGGCACTCAACAGCTGATCTCCTCGCTCACTTTCATCCCCAAGATTTCAATCCACAAGGGTGCTGTGTTTAAGTGCCAGGTGTCCTACATAGGCAAGGACAAGATCGTGGAGGAGAGGGTGTCGGAGAAGTTCACTGTTCTGTGTAAGAACATGTTTTTTTTTCTATTATTCAGTTTATTTTTGTAATTCCTGCAGCTGAATCTCTTGTATGTTTTGTTGCCCAGCTCCTCCTGAGGTGTCAGAAATACAGCTGGCAGAAACACAAAGAGACTCGGGTAATTCAAGGATACTATCCTTTTGTATTGCATATTTAAAGTTAACCTGTTTGCAGGAGGCTACCATTGATGACATTTCCATCTTCCAGATGTCATCAGCCTGACAGTCCGAGCGTCCCATTTCCATCCAGACGTCATCACTTTCCGGTGGTTCTGCCAGGGCGGTGAGCTCAGCCCCGTGGCGTCCCAGGCATCGTCCTCCCCTCGGCCCAATTCAGAGGGATTCTTTTCAGCCTACAGCCAGTGTAAACTTCCCCGCACTGAACTGGAGAAAGGAGCAACTAAAGTGTGGGTTAGCGTCCACCACATTGCCCTGAAGCAGCCCATCACCCGGGAGACCAGAGGTAAGAATGAGGGATGAGGAGGGAATGGGGGAAATGTTGAAAAATCAAAGATTAATTTTTTATTTTGATCCCAAACAGGATTCATCAGGAGGCCGTGCGTGTCTGAAATTGTCAGCTCCACCATTTCGCAAGATCAAACTCTGGGATGTGAAATCACAGATTTCTACCCTCCGAACATTTCAGTGACTTGGCTTAGATTCAGGGAGGGAGAGCAAGATGATGGAGAGGAGGAGGTGTTAGAGGGAGGAGAGATATGGGGCCCCATACAGACTGAACCCAGACGCTACAGGGCGACAGCCACTCTGAAGAGAAGGGCAACAAATCAGGAGAAAATCGACAAAAGAGGAGGGATTATTTGTAGAGTGAGGCACTGTTCCCTACAGGATCCTGTTGAGAAACACTGGAGAAATGCTGACATTGGTAGGACTGACTGATGCACTTTTACCTGCTTTTTAAACTGCACGATTAAAGTCTCAAGGATGTTCCAACGGTAACTATCTGTATCCCTTGTTCCTCAGTCGCTCCATCCATTCCTCCATCAATCTCAGTCTGCTGGAGCAGCGAAGGCATTGGTGTGTTCTCCCTCTTGTTGAAGGGAGGTCACCCAAAGGCCAAGTTACAGTGGTCAGCAGG